TATATAGCAAATATTCCATTTCAGGATTAATGTCTCCACAGTTCCCTTGGTCTTTTTCCAGCGTCATGAGATTGATGGTTGAGTTTCTGGTCCAAGGTAGGCAAAATGGGAGAGCAGGCCATATCCAGACACTTTCGGTATAAACCAAGAAGTTCTCTCAAAACGTTCCCTACAGCCTACTTCTCATTGGCTAGAACTGTGTCCATTGGCTCCACCTAGTGGCCCGTGTATTATCCCAGACACATCTTCATTCTAAACAAAACCAGAGTTCACTTACTAACCAAGAAATCAAAGAAAGGCTAACATGTGAAGGCACTTGACAATATCAAATAAAAATGAATAACTTGAGTCAAAAATCTTTTTGAGTTGCTGATAATGGTATGCAAATTTTGCATTAACTCACCAAATGTTTGATCTGAGAACTCAGCTCAGGATTAACGTTGTAGCACAGGGTGTTAAAGTCACTGCCTGCACTACTAACATACTATATGAGCAGTGGTTTTTGTCTCAACTGCTCCACTTCCAATCCAGATCCCTACTAACCCCCCAAGGAAAGCAGCCAAAACTGTCGGAAGTGCTTGCACACCTGGCCTCACTTGGCAGACCGAGGAGATGCTTCTGGCTCCTGACTTCAGGCCAGCCCAACCTTGATCATTGTGGCCATCTGGGTAGTGAGACAGCAGAAGGAAGACGCTCTCTCTCTCCCCACCCCCCCCAGGTAAATCTGCTTTTAAAACAAGTAACACTGAAGAAAAAAAAAATTAGCTTTGTATGCATTCTGATTCAAACTGACCCCACCTAATCAAATCATGAAAATATATTTTATTATCCTTAGGTGTCAAACCAGGCTGATCAAAACCAGTTGATTCTTTTGAGAATTAATGTTGGATAGAAAAAAGAACATAAACCAAATGTTGATTAATTCGGTTGAAGCAGGCCCTCCTCCTTTATTTATTGGATCAATTAATGAATAATAAGCCTTTACTTAAAATTTAAATGACAAACAGCCTTGAGACTGAGATTAAGAACTAAAAATAAAGGTCCTTCTGTTTCTTTCTCTATCTGTCTTTGGTCATGAAATAAAAAGATGGGGCAAAATTTTACAGAGTTAATGGGATGGCTCTTATTTTCTGATGGCTAATGAATAACCCACATGAAACAAACCTCCCAGATTTAGCCTTTAATGAACCAATAATCATTTACCTATAGCAATGCAGACTTACAATGGTACTCCCATTGAGAACTAACAATGCATTACAGATAGAAGGAGTGGAGGAAGCACACGATGTTCTGGGCATGGAGCCCTGGGGTACAAACCTAATCCTTTGCTGCCACAATCCCAGGAGTTATCCCAATCCTCTTATTTCCTTGGAATTCAATTACATTGACTCTTCGCAAACAAGGGAGTAATTGACTGGGCATCAAGAGCCTTCTGTAACAAAGTGATGAAGGTGTTCACCGTGACAGTATTGTGTCTACCAGTTCGAAATTAGGCTCCAGGCTTCTGCCATTCCTGGTCACCACTATCTGCCTTTCTGAGATGTGGCTAACTTTACATCTGAAGTCTCCCCCAGGGTCACTGCAAATGAAAGGTGATTGTTCTCCACTGCTCCTCATTGGTATGACTATGGCTTCTGTGCACACCCCAAGGCTCACACACAGGAAATTTGGTCCCCAATATGGTGTATTGGCAGGTGGCAGAACTTTCAGGTCATTAGGTCATTGGGGGCATCACACTAGCAAAAAATGATTCAATAGTTTCTTCCCCAAAAAGAAAAAAGGGTGCTACAGAAAGAAGAATTGTGGAAACAGATGTTTGGTCTAGCAGCTGAAATTGCAGCTTGGGGTGCCTGCATTTCATATGGGACAGCTGTTCAGCCTCTGGTCCAGAGGATGGTGGTTCAAGTACTTGGGTCTCTGACATCCATTTGGCAGATGTCAGTTGTTTCAACTTTCTGGTGTGGCCTAACCCAAATTGGCTGTTGCAGTTATTCAGAGAGCAAACCAGTGGACTGCAGATCTCTGCCAGTCTCTTGGTCTCTCTCATCACTCACTGGGTACTTAACAGAATTCAGAATCAGGAGCCAGAGCAATGTTGGGAAATACAACAGGCACCTGGGGAGCCTTTTAAAAATATTGGTATCTGCTCCTTGATTATGCAGTTGGTTTCATCAGAAAACAAGAGAATCAGAATTTTTAATGAAACCATGAGTTTATTAATTAGTTGAAGCACAGGGGCACCTTTTATGTGAGCAAACTCCTTCTTCAACATCCCTGCAGAGTAGTTATTAAAATGCTCTACACCAGGAATCATGAGAATTCCACCCTTTCCTAAAGGAACTCTGAAATATTCTAGCACATCTAACCATTTAGAATATTTCAAAAGTTTTAAATTTTACTACCTATTTTCATTTTATTTGCAATGCAGAATCAGATAGAGAAAGACAGGTAACTGCTTCACCCACTGGCTCAGTCCTCAAATGCCTACAGCAACCAGGACCGGGTAAGGCAGGAGCCCAGGACTTAAAACTCAGTGGGGGTCTCCCACATGGATGGCAGGGACTCAAATACTTCCAGGTTCTCAAGCCATGATGTGCTGCCTCCAAGGGTGTACTATCAGGAAGTTAGAAGCAGAAGCAAAACCAGGACTCAAAGCCAGGCACTCTGACAGTTTGGGGGTCCCAAATGACATCTTAACTGTACACCACATATTCACCCCAGATTATTGTTTTTATTCTACACAATTATTTACTTCCTTTTACCTCATACAACTTTCTAAGTTCTGCCCTCTGGAGCCAAGAAAAGCAAATCATATCCTTGAAGGATCCTTGTATCTTTCCAATTGATAATCCTCTGTATTTGTCATCATAACCCCTAGACCTTGGCTTAATCAATTTTCAGATGACTAGGTGAATCTCAAAAGGAAAAGCTGCCAAAAGCCAACATTTAATGTAAGTAAGTGCCTGGGGTGGGACCCAGAGACAGTTGTCTAGGTCCCTCTGCCTTTGAAACCTAGCTCATTCTAGTTTGTAGCCAGAGTTGAGACTGTCTGAACATATGTGTTCCAATTCTGAACTCAGAACCTCCAATATGAGGAGTGCTTCAAGTGAGCAAATAGAAATCTATTTTCCTTATTCCAGAGACTAACATTCTGTTGAAACTACCTAACTCAGACACAAGACTTTTAGACACTCTCTGGGCTCATACTGGTTAAGGTCTGTCTACGCACTTGTAATGTGCAGTATAAATTTCCATTAAACCATACCTTCCTGGTTTTACACAGACAAGGTTGACTTTTAGATTAAGTATACAGTGATTTGGTTTTTGCTTTTTTGTTGCCTGTAACTATATTATTTACAAGGAACAAAATAATTAATAGTTGGGTACTAACCATATGACCATATGCTTACATGAGGACAAATGCGTTGCCCTTTTATCTATTATTTTAATTGACTTTCAACAGCAACTCTAGCAAAAGGGAATAATATTATTTTCATTTTACAGATGAGAAAATTGAGCCTTCAAAAGATTCAGTCAGGTCCCTCACCTAGTCTGTGGAAACCTTTGTGGAGTCTAACTCACACAGACAACACCACATTTTCTGTTCATATGCATATCTTCCTGCCACAAATGTCAGCTTTTCATAAGGACTTCCCAGATGTGATTGCTGAAGCGTGAGAATATTGCTGCAGTACTGCAAAAGTGCAAACCAAGGGGGAGGCTAAGTGCTGCGTCTGCCGGCAGAGGCTTCCACGTAGGAGACCTTAACCAGCATGTGGGAGCGACATAACCCTGCATGCACAACTGGTTGTGACCCTTTTCCCTTCCCATCTAAAAGAATTCATAGGGATGTTAGCCAATGCCATGCCCAGACGTCAATTTACTGTCCCTAGTTCTACAGCAAACTCTTGCATCTAAGCAAAGAGCACTGTCCAGATGGACGTGTTCTTAAGAATCTCATGCTGACGCACGGCGCTAGGTCACCACAGAGCACCTTTTTAATGCATTGCCCTAGAATTCCATCCAGTATCAACACCAATCTTGCAGACCCAGCATTTGCGGTGGCCAAGTTCATGTGCTACACTTCTCTTTTCTTTCTGGGATTTTTCCCCTGCTCTGTGTGACTACTCCAAGAACATCTTAGCAGGGTCAGAAGTGTTTTGTTGCTGTTATTGTAAAGATTTATGTATTTTTAATGGAAAGACAAGTCAGATTTACAAAGAGAAGGAGAGACAGAGATCTTCTATCCATGGGTTCACTATTCAAGAGGCCACAGTGGCTGGAACTGAGCCAGGATCCTGATGTTTCTTTCAGGTCTCCCATTCAGGTGCATAGTCCCCAGGCTTTGGGCCATCCTCTACTGCTTCCCTAGACCACAGCAGAGAGCTGGATGGGAAATGGAGCAGCCAGGACATGAATTGATATCCATATGGGATCCCAGCACCTCAAAGATAAGGATTTGGCCATGGAGCCATCACACAGGGCCCAAAAGTGTTCTTTTTTTTTTTTTTTTTTTTTTCATCTTCATCTGTTTTCATTCCAATTTGCCAGAGCCAGGGAGACTTGGCCACCTTCAGTCAGCTCCATTTCAGCAGCAGCATCTTTGTAAGACATTCCCAACAGATCTTCGGCCCCCCAGGTCTGCCTTTGTCTCTCTGAGTAGCCTTCCACACAGAGTACAGAACTGGCAATGTTTGGCCTTCTCCCTGACATTTGTCAACATTACATCACTTGCTCCAGGCAGTGGGCAAATTACTTCCTTGTTCCTCTTGCTCAAATGGGACTTAAAACCTCCCCAGTGGTTTCCCTCATATTTTCCTAATATTTGAGTTTTCATCCTTTTCAAGTCTCAGCTCATCCTGGGCGGTAGCCTTTCTGACACTGTAAGCTCATAATTGCGTGCTTTGTGCAGATTTGGCCCCAAACTATGAAAACAAGGCAAATTACCAAGACTGATAGAAATTCCAGCACCAAAGAGAAATGCACTGACTGTCCAAAAAAAAAGTTTTTTTGTGAACAGGTTGTCTACCTCCATATTAAATTAAAAATACATTGTCTACCCAATCCTTTTCTTCTCTAGGATTTTCTTGGAATGACAGGATCATCTTCTTTTGTTTTACGTGGAAAAAAACAGGTCCCCCCAAGTCCTTCCAGACACTACCAGTAAGCAGGATCATGAGTCAAGCTCATAGATGCTGAATTTCACTGGAAGCGTCTTCACAGCTATCCTTGCTAAGGCTCAGATAACCGTGGTATCCATTCTTATCCCAATGTCTTTCTAACTGGTGCAATGGGATGAAAAAGACTCACACATACACAAGCAAACTAACAAGAGTGATTTTTATCCCTCCAGGAGCCTGGGGCAACAACAAGAAACACATAAGGTCTTTGTGGTATAACAGAGACTCAGGAAAAGTATATTCCTGTGACCAGAAAAATGCTTTATTCAGAAAAAAATCTTACAATCCTCTGTGTTGCTAATTGCTTCTGAGCATCAGCCACACCCAGAGCTATGGAGATTGCAAGTCTACCTTGAGACCACTTTGTAGGACAAATGATGGAAAGGTTTGCCATCCATGAGAAAACCACACAAAGAGTGTGGGTTAGAGGCCAGCGTTGTGGCACAGCAGGGTAAGTCCCAATCTATGATACTCACGTCTCCTTTTGGCACAAATTCAACTCCTGGCTGCTCCACTACAAATCTAGCTCTCAGCTAATGTGCCTAGGAAAGCAGTAGAAGATGGCCCAAATCCTTGGATCTTTGGCATCCACTGTAGGAGACCTGGATGTAGTTCCAGGATCCTAGTTTCAGAGCGGCGCAGCTTCAGCCATTGTGGCCATTTGGAGAATGAACCAGAGGATGAAAGATCTCTCTCTCTCTTTGTGTGTGTGTGTGTGTGTCCCTCTTTCAAATAAATACTTTTTAAGGAGCTGGGCTAATAAATGAAAGTGCCTGGAAAGATTACTTTTAATTGAGTTTCTCTTTCCAATATCCAGTTAGACACTTGCACACCATGACCCATAGGTCCTTCTAGGTAACACCTTGTCGGGCTCAAGCCACACTCTTGTGGTTTGCCCACAGTTCCTCCTCCCACCTCTCTGTCTCTGGCCTGTTTTTCCTGTAAGGCATTGTAGACTGCTTCCCTTTCTGTTCGTCCTCCACAGGAGGAAGATTTCACAGGTGCCTGTCCTGCCACTCATTACCAGACCCTGGCCTGCTGGTGCTGGTGATGGAAGAGGGTGTTGGTCCAGGCACAGAGGCCAAGATATCTGCCTGGGTTTTCAGATCCTTGGTTGAGAGATCAAGTATATTTAGCTTTGCTTAAGTTAATATGTCTTTTGTGCAAGAGCAATATGCACCAAAAAAGTCAACCTGTCTAAACATAGTGCTTAATAAACTGTCATCCCCTCTCCCTTCCCCTGCTCAAACTATAGAACCTTACTCCAAGTCAAAAACAGCCCCCTCCACCTTTCCCCTTCTATCTTCTTCCCTCTTCCAATCCTTCCCCTCCCCTCAGTGGTTAACATGATCTGTACTGCTCCTAAAGCAAGATGTATTTTAAGGAAATATTTCCTAGTTTTAAAGTGCATTATTTTGTTGATTCAGCAGAAATAGAGACAGAGAGAGGTCTCCCATCTGCTGGTTCACTCTCCAAGTATCTCCAATAGCTGGAGCTAGGCCAGACAAAAGCCAAGAGCCAAAACCTCAGTGTTGGTTTCCCACATGGGTGCCAAGTAACCAAGTATTTGAGCCATCACCTGTTGCTTCCCAGGGTATACTCTAAAAGGAAACTGGAACCAGAAGTTGAGTGGAACTCGAACCTAAGCACCTTGAAGGAGGATGCAGACATTCCAAGGAGCTTCTTCACTGCTATACCAAACATCCAACACCCAGCCTAAATGTGTCGATCTGTTTGGGATTTTACGTAGATGGACTCCACAGCCAGCTTACACACATTGGTGTCTGACTCCTGCTTTTTGAGCAGTGTGTTCATGAGATTCATCCAGACTGCTGTGTGTAGTGGTGAATTGCTTATTCTCATTAATGTACATTAAATAGTTCCCAGTTTTTGTCTATTCTAAATATCCCTGCTATGAAGACCCCAGCCTTTCCATGCCTCTGTTGGGTAAACACCTAGAATTGCTAGGTCATAGAGTGAGAACTATAGGTGTTCAGCTTTAGTAATTACCGTTTATTTATTCCTCTTCTTTCTTTTCCTTCTTCAAACACTTTTTTAACAAAGATGAAACCCATGTGTGCTTCTCAGTCCAGTATTTAGAGAAAAAAGAGCATCCTCTTCCAGTTTCCATGTCAGGAGCTGGTGAGTCGCTCACTCTACCTGCCAGTGCCCTACAGAGCACCTGCTCAGAAGCAGAGTTTCACACCCTTCATTCTGGCCCCCTGCCACTTTGTCCTGTCCTGTCTATGACAATGAAAGTGGTCTAAGCACAGCTCCCACCTCACAGGCATGGCAGGCTTGCTGCTCAATCCCAACAGGAGATGGCCACTGCCTCTCATGGCCCACAAAATTAGCATTAGGATTCATTAGGAATTCAGGGATACTGGAAAAGGAGCCTCACACACATTATTATTACCCAGAGCCTAGAGAGTTCCCATACAGCACAGTCACCAGCCCTGCTTTCTTCTGGCCTCCACTCCCAGCGCCTTCCTGAGGCCTACACAGCTCCACGCACAGCTCCACACATAGGTGAGAGAGCCGTTCCCTGCCTAACCAGTTCTGATAGAAGTATAGCCAGGCTATGCCTACAGTTCCCTTGTGGAGTAGGGTCCACTCAGGACAGGCATTTTAGCCCAGCTGCTTCTTATAAAAGGGATCATTCGGGTTGTTCATCTTAGGGATTCTTGATGCTGATGTTCCTGTTTGTCAAAAGATTAGTTGAGACATGCATAATTGGATGATAAAGAGATCTAACTGGATAATAGATTGATTGCGAATCTGTATGAAATCTTTATAGCTGCTGTGACACACAGAGAGCTTAATGTTGAAAGATTCTCAGCTTGATCCCTTCTTCCTCTTCTTTGTTGCAGTGTGACCTTGAGCTAGTCGGTAGGCTGCTGTTTTCTGCCTTTCCTCACCTGTACATTTCCATAAACACTAATTGCTCTTCTTACAGGCTCCAAGTAAGGATGCTCTGATCTACCTGTGAGCGCTCACAACTAAGCATGACAGCCAGGCAGGTGTGAGCCAAGCTCAGTAGGAATTTGGGTCCCCAGAGGTGTCTGTGTTCTGGTCAGGTGATCATTCTAGCTCCTCTCTGTACTCCACCCAGCATGAGCCTGGGTCATTTGGGTCTGCTCCTGGCTTTGACCCTTCATGCAAGGGAGTGGAGATGACCTTATCATCCTGAGATAATTGTTCCATGACTTAGGGTTAACAGGAATTGCTTTGTACAGCAGACAGAGAATTTTCAAAGGGCACCTGTTCTTGCTGAGGATGCACCTGCAGACACACAGTGTTCGGCAGTAGCCATTCTGTGATGCTTCTAATGGGACACCAACAGCATCTCCAATGGGACATGCACAAACACACAGTACGCCTCCCCCCAAGGCCTTCCCACTATTGGTAGAAACAGTTCCTGCTGGCTGTCCATCTTCAAAAACCCTCCCACCAGTCCAAAACACTGTTAATGGACTTCAGCAATAGAAGCTCAGTTTTTTGGCCCTGACTCCATGCCGGGTAATGCACTAAGCCCTTTGCCAATACTAACACACAAGACCAACACAACAACCCTAGAAAGTGGCTTGCTGCAGAATGAGCCTGTGTAAGTGTGGCTCCAGATGGTAGAGAGTGGATGCAGGTCAGCCTCACATGGTGTACTGTATAGAACGACTCAGGTCCTTGTTCTGGAAGAGCAGGTGTACTGGCTGCAGACATTCACAGTAACCCTTCACCATGGGTTCTGAGTTCCACCAGCTCTTACTCAGCATTGTTCATGGTGGCCTTTAAAGGATGAATTTCCTTCAATGGTGAACATGCTGAGAAATTCCCACCACCAAAATTTCTTAACAGTGACTCAATACTCAGTCATTCTTTCTTCCTCTTCACTTACTTCCTTTTCCTCTTTCTTCCAATTGTGTCTCTTTCCTTCTATCTGCATTCTGGAAGTGGTAAGAGGGGTTTTCCAAATATTGCTGCTCTGTCGCAGATCATGGCCAGCATTCATGGGAAAGTTCCCAGTTTGTGTCAGGTCTGCCTGGGACTGAGTGACAAGCCTTGGGTTGGATGCGGGGTCTGGTGTTGCCTGTGACCTGCAAAGAATCACAATAGCTCACAATGGCTTCCTTGCAGATCTTCACTGATGTAGCTCTCACTGTACAAGTGACAAAATGGAAGCTCACTTTAATACTTGTTCAGGCTTGGAATAGCTAAGTGGTCAGATTCAGAATGGAACTCAGGAATGACGAGAGCCCTGACGAGGACCTCAGAGCCCTAATGGGTCATCTCTATGATTCAAGCTAAAGTCCTGGGCAGGATCAGAACTTTGAGAAAGTATCCACTTCCTGAAATGACATGGGCAGGTTTGGAGAGGGGTTGATGTGCTATTGAGAAAATAAGAAATAAGACAAACACAAGACAAAGACTATGAAAGCAGATGGACAGAGGGGAACCCCCTTATCTGAAGAAGGTGTTGATCTAGGTTTGCTGTCTCAATCTTTTATTGAAATGTTTGGAGAGTCAAGTTACAGGAATTGATGAGGCACAAACATTGATAGCTATAGCCCAGGTTGATGTTAACCAGCCAATGCCTGATGTCAAGAAACTACAGAGTGACCCATGTATAGAAGCCAGTACATGGCTGTTTCAAGGAGATTCTATGGCACACAGTCCTGTGGCCTTGGACTGGCATCCAACTGTGGACCCTTGTTGCAGGCTTTGACCTTGGTCTCGGACTTTTGCCCACTCACAGCCCATTGCCCACAAAGTTTGACTTCAGTCTCTGGCACCAACAGTCTGTGAACTCAAGATTCCAGACACAGTCTATCCTGCTC